TTTTTCACTTCTACAGAGTTTCTCCCAGCAGATCCTCAAGGGTTTTCTGCAGTGGTGATGAAGTTTCTCAGGACTCCTGGGAGATGGTGACTGTTCAGGAAATGAACAGTGGGAGGGCAAACCCACAGCCACGATGGAGCCTGGAGGTCACTGGAGCATCCTTTGGGATGTGCAGGGCACAGGGAGAGGGTCTGGGGGGTCTGGGGGTGTCCCAGCCCGGCCACCCCCTGTGCCTGGCGTGGTGGCTGCTCCATGAACAACGTGCTGTCCTGGCTGGGGGGGCAGGGTGTCACACGGTGTCCCCTGCCCTGCTTGTGGCTCCCAGTATTGACCAGTGCTCCAGCCCCAGCTCCACACCGAGCCCCTGGCACAAGGGACATTGTAGCAGGGAGAGTGTCCCTCCCTTTTAGCAGGGACAGTGTCCCCGGTGGCAGAGGGACAGTGGGGACAGTGTCCATCCCCTGTAGCAGGGACAGTGTCCCGGTGGCAGAGGGACAGCGGGGACAGCGGGGACAGCCCGGGGCCGTGTGCGCGCTGCTGGCACCATCTAGTGGGGTTTTGCGGGGTCCGGCCGTGCCACCACCCGTGTCCCTGCCCTGTCCCTGGGGCACCAGCACGGCCCCGGAGTCCCCCTCGGGGGTCTCTCCCAGCCCTACCCGCCGGGCTGGGGTGGGTGGGTTTGTGCCCGATGTCCCCCGTGGGTGGCCCACGGCACCAGAGGTGACACACGGTGATTTGGGGGCACAGGGGCTGCCTGCAGAGCCGGGAGCCCCCTGGACCAGCTCAGCCCTGGCCTCACCCTGTCCACCCCAGGGCTGGGAACCCCCAGTGGGGTCTGAGGGGTCAGCAGGGGACACTGGGCTCTGGGGTGACACCTGGGTGAGGCACTGACCCCACACAGTGGATCCAGACCCCGATCCTGGGCTGGGCTGTGGATCTGCCCCAGCACAGCCCAGACTGGGGGGGGTCACACAGGGCCCCCCTGCACCCCCAGCTGGATGTTTCCTGCACAAAATGCCATTAAGAGAACTGGGAATGTGCAAACCAGGGGCTGGGGCTGCCCTGCACCGTTTTGTTGCAGGGTTTGTGACATTAACTCCTTTTTATTTTTTCTTTCTCTTTTTCTCTCCCTTCTCCTTTCTCTCTTTCCTTTCCCCTTTCCTCTGCAAACACGAAGTCAAAGCACAGTCCCCAGGTGTGGGGCAGTGCTGGGGTCACAGCAAATCCCCAGCCCCACCTGAGGGATCCAGGACTCCCCTCAGGCTGCCCATCCTGGGAGAACTGCCCCACTAAGGTCACCCCAGGGCACGAGGGAAGGCTCCATCAGCACCAAGAAAAGCTTGAGATTCATTTATTTACTTGTGGCTTTGTTAGGCCAGGAGGAGGGTTGGGGGGACACCCAGCTCTGTCTGTCTCAGCCCCTGGTTCCCCTGCTGTGCACAGGGGAAAGAGCCCCAAATCTGGGGTCCCTTCCCTGCTCCCCCTGGCCTGTGGCTGCCAAGGGACCACAGGGGACCAAGGCTGATGGCACAAAGTGGGAGGAGTTCAGCAGTGGTCCTAGGGAAGGGAATAAAACAAGTTGCAAAATCCCAACCTTTTATTTCCCAGCATCCAAACTCTTACACCAGCATGAGTTAGCGAAATAAAATCAATGCCTTCCTACCCTTCCAAAAAAGCCCAGGAGATGGCAAAATGTTTTTTTTAGTGCCTGAATAATAGAGCTGGCTGCTGATGACTGGCAAGGCAGCCAAAACACTTCCCCCGAGGATTTGTCTCTGCCGGCAGCACTGAGCAGCCCTGCCCTGGGAAGCAGCTCCTGGGATGCTGAGCCGGCCCCGCACCTGCCCCGGGGCTGGGGGAGGGCACTGGGGATGCAGGATGGGGCTGGCACAGCCAGCACGGAGGGGACAGCTCCGTGTGACCCTGAGCTGTCACCCTGCACTGCCCGGGGGCTCCCAGGTCACAGAATTCCTCTTTCCATCGCCATTTTAACGTGCCTGCACATCGAGCAGGGCAGAGAGCCGGGCCAGCTCCTGCTCCAGGGCACACACTCGGGAATGGCAGCCCAGGATCCCTCCCTGGGGATTTACAGGCTCGCTGGCAAGGCAAGGGTGTAAATGGAGACACCTGGAGAACAGGGAGCCCTCAGCTTTGTGGGGAGGCAGGGGATGCTGGTGGGGAAAAAAAAAAAAAACAGGTGAAATTTCTTCCAGGAATTTTGTCTTGTCTCGTAAAAATCCACAAAAACCAAAAAATAATAATAAAAAAACCAAAACAAACAAAAAAACAACCAGAAAAATAAAAAAAAAATCAAACAAACCAAGCCCAAAGCACACACTTCAGACTGACACCTCTCCCAGAGGAGCTGTTTGATGCAGCCCTGGCCTGCACTGTTAGCACCTGCCCAGCTCAAGCAGGGGCTGAGGCTCAGGTTCATTTAATTGCCATTTCAGGGGTGGCACTGGCCACAAAGGCAGCTCCCCCACATCTCCAGGCACGGCCCAGCAAAGCCACCTCCTTGCACGACACCTTCTCAAGGACTGCTGCACTCAGCAAGGTCCTGAGCAGCAGAGAGCTGGTCCCTTGTTGTGTGCTGGCACAGAAGTACTGACCACATGTTAAAGCTTGAAGTAGGTCAGGCAACCATCTGGTCATGCTGACAGACCTCACAACCACGGTTGAAGATTCTCCTTCAGAGAAACTTCACAGCTTGGATCAAATTTGAAAGACCAACCACAAACACGTTGTAGCCTCTGCTCCAGCTGTTAGAAAACCCACAGTTTGATGTTTATTAGCTCCTGTTTTTAAAATAGCTGAAGCTTAGTCTACTTCTACTAATTAAAAAACATAATTTCCTGAGTGTGACTTGGTCTCCTGCCTGAGGAGTGGGAGCAGCCAAGGAGCCCCTCCCTCACCCAGCACTGACAGACCTGAATCTAGCACATAAAACAACCTGGAAGCTTTGCAGCAGATGAATGAAATAAAGAGACTGCCCTCTTTTTTTTTTTTCCAAACAGTTCACATTTATTGATAACAATAAAAAAATCTTTTAAAGACTATCTGTATTTTAATACCAAGAATGAGGTATTATGTATACAAAACATTTACAGAATTTGATATGCAGTTCATGAGGAGGGACAGGGAAGTGAAGGACACTGATAACAGGAAAGGTGCCAACAGAAGAGTCACGGGCTGAGAAAAGGAAGAGCAATATCACACAAAGAAAGACCAGGGTATGGGAAATTAATTAGTTAGACTGCAGTGATCAAGTCATATTGCCACAGCACTTTGCTTACAGGAAGATTAACTATTGTTTTTCTGGAATTTTATCTCCCTGGCTGTTTGTGCTGTCATGTGCTTTGAGCTCTAAAAGATGTGTTAAGATCAACAGCAGGAAAAACCCGAAGTGCCACTTTTGAGCCAGCTCAAGTGAAAAATATGTATCTTCAGACCTGAAAAGGGACTGCAACCCAAAACGGTCTACAAAGCCAGACACCTGGACAGATGTGGAGTGTTGAATGGAGCAGTTTCTTACAGTTATCAGCAAAATTGTCATCTGAGAGAGAGAAAGAAAGGGACCATCTTCAGCCCTTACAGCCTGGTGAATGGGAAGAAACGCCTTGAGTGTCAGCAAGTGAACCTCACTGAGCTCCAGCTGCACTCCCTGTGCTGGGAATCCTGGTTCCTGGTGTCAGCAATTCGGGCAGAGCTCCTGGGAGCAGCCCTGGAGCCACAGCCTGGGCAGGCTGCTGTGCAGACACTGGTGGGAGCTGTGTGACACCAAAGCAGTGACCTGTTCATTCTGACAGCCTAAGTAACAGCCTAACCTCCATCTTCAGCCTCTGAGTCCCAAAAGAGCTCCAGAACAAAGCAGTTTGGTTCAGTTTAAGGAGGCTGGTGTCTGAGCACCTCTGTTAGTGAAATACCTGTCAGCTCTGCCACGTGCCACAGCCAGGATGGAGCTGCAGCAGAGCTGCTCTCAGGGGTCTGTCACCTGCCTCTCCAGAGCTCTGCAGGCATAAAAAAGCCTCACCCTGAGTTCAGAACCAGCTTTCCTCAGGCAAGGGATCCAGAATCTCTAGTGAGTTCTGCTTTCCAAGTGCAACACCTTTGTGAGCTCCTCCACCACTTAGCCAAGCCAGACCCTGTCCCACTTCCTAGCAGGGACTGCAGCCAGCACAGAAGCTCTTGTGCCTGCATGGACATTTTAGCTCTACCAAGGGTAAGGAAAGACCAAGAAGGGTCTAACTGCAAATCCTGCTGCATTTCAGACCAAAATCTTCTCTGCTCCCTGTCAGGTATGGTCTGTATTTGTCTGACAGTTGAGTCTTTGGAGCCTTTTGCTGTGCACAGAGAGAGGGCTCGAGAAGGAAGAACACCTGAACAGAGCTCAGCAAGGGTCCAGCTTGGGCCTGGCAAACAGGGACAGAATCCCAAATGGCAGATCACCTCTGGCAGTGGCAGTAGTGAAAATGGTGGAGAAAATCCTTGGAATATCTTCTCCTGTATAAAAGGTCCCTGTGCTCCCAGCCCACACGAAGGCTGACCAGAACTGAGGTTCTCTATTTCTGCCAGGGACAGGGAAGGACAGGAAGCCCCAGGGAGGGAGAAGTGCTCAGGAAGGATGGAAGCCACACCTCCTTCAGACTGGTTTAAGCAGCAAGCTGAAGCTCTGCATAAATTCCTGACAAGAAGAGAATCTCAGTAAAATCCATTAGCTTGGGATGCACTAAGGAAGCAGAGTGAAGCTCCAGCAGAGAGCTGGGAACAGAAGCTCAGAGCAGCTCTGGATGAGCCCAGTGTGACACAGTGAGGGAGAGCCTGCTCTCTGCCTCTCTCTCTGCAGTGCTCCACGCACAAATCCAAGGAAAGAACAAATTGCTTTAACCCAGCAAGACCCAGAGCTCAAAATTCCCCAGAAATGTGCTCATACAAAAGGTATATTCAGTGTTACAGCCTGGCCACAGCTCTGTGGGCATGCTTTGAAAAAAATGGACTCACAAAGTCAAGTATCCAGCAACTGCTGTCCTTTGTCTCGGACATCATTAGTGGCATCAGGAGAACAGTTTGCAGCACTGGAAGATCACAGGGGATTTCTCAGGATGGCAAGAAATGTCCTGACAGGAGACTTGCAGTTGATCTCTAATGCACTATGGAGCATTTTTGGTAGGGTTTTTCTTTTTTGCTTTTTAACATCTACACAGTTTAAAAAAAAAGAAAAATCATTCTTAACTGATGCACTGGTTGTTTTTCCTTTTCAGTAAGAGCCCTTGTGTTCAGAGTTAGGATTTGTGCAAGCACACTTGCAAAAATATTTATGGCTGAGTTAGGAAAAAGGGTTAAAGTTAAGAGACAAGCTGTTGGATCTAACAAAGACCAAAACCACTAAGAGTAAAATTCAAACAGCTACTTTACTATCTATAAAAGGCTTTTTGGGGTGGGGTTTTTTGCACAATTGCCAGTTGAATATGCTGTATTGCAGTCAGCTGCCATGGGCGAGGGTCCAGCCATCACATCCATTTGCTTTTCAGCTGCTGTGGCACTACCTGGAAATCATGGAGCTGGAATGGGACTGGCTAGAGGAGGTGGTGGCAGCACTGAGCTGGGAGAATCCACTGTGGCTTGATTCAAGGCTGGTCATAGATCCCCTGCAGAAAAAAAACCCAAAGCAAGCAGTTTTAAGCTTCAGAACACACAAAGATTTTGGTTTCTGCTGTGTATCTATACTGTATTCGTTTGCACACTAAATAAAAAACAAGTAACAGCTTTGGTGCAGATACTCAAAAGCTTTTCTATCTCATCACATAAAGTAATGAGGACACTGCACCCCTTTCAAAAACCAAATGCTGTTCAAAGAGACAGATTTCATTTCAGTCAAGTTTATCCACTGGCAGAAAATGAAATTCAACAACTGGAATTTGAATTGCACTCCCTTCTACAGGACAACCTGCCAAGCCCAAGAAGCTCTCAAGGCAGAGTCAAGTGATCAGTGATATTAACACGAGACAATTCATTAACTCCTTTTATACATTAGTTGCCCTCAGTGCAACTTTTTAAGGCCCTCAAAATTTACTTGTATTGAAGTTGACATTGACTAGATCATCCAAATCACCAGAAAGGTTTGACAGTGGCTGCCCTTGACCAGACATACCTGAAATCTTCAGATCCTATCACTTCTGTATAGTACATCACTTTACATTTGTGAGAGGACACCTGTAGAGATGCCAGCACATCATCCACACGAGGCAGGTTGGTTGTAGCACAGGCAGGCATGCTGTGGAATTTCCACTGTAAAATGTAGAAGCCAGGCCACCTGGTCACATGAGAGCCCTGCAAGCAGACACAACAAAAATCAAAAATTAACTTGGTTAACAGAGATTTGTAGGCTTGACATTTCTTTTCCAAGCTTAGAAAAAGTGCCTACATGCCCAGGATTTTTGCCCAATGCCAATATTTCAGCTCCTGAGCCAAATGGCAGTGCTAGGAGATTCTCCCCACACAACATCCCTATCAAATCTGGGATGGAACACCAGCAGTTCCTCCAGCTTTTCAACAGTGTCAAGGGGTTAGGATTTAATATGCTGAAAGGACAAGTTCTGCTTTAAAACAATATTAATTTTCCATTTATTTTCATTCACAGCTGTCCTCTGAGACCATGCAAAGAGCACTCAAGGTTTCTGCCTCACAGTTCAAGAGGTCACTGCCATATTTCCAGTTTAACACTTATATCTTGGTGACTTAAGGAGCTGCTTTTTTGGAGGCTGTTTGACTCATTTCAAGTCAACAGAAACAGCAGTGGCAGTGTGTGATTATAAACATGCTGCATGTTATAACAATTTGAAATTAAAGGACAGGTTGTAAATGGCATTAAAAAGCCTTCAGGAGCTTTGGCCATCAGCAGCTCTTACACTGCCTATTAGAGGGCAAACACACAGAAGTTCAGACTTGATTTCCAGCCTTCTCTTATTACTGAGGGCAGGCACTGTGATATTCCTCAAACACAGAGTATTTGCTGAGTAAATAACTCAGAATTATAGCACAAAGCATGTTTTGTTACTTCCTGGATGTGCATTTTAGGTGGCCTCCCCATGTTCCTTGCTGATCCATCTAGTGACTAGCAGACTGATGACATTTCCCCTCCCAGCAGATCCCACATAAATCCCATCCCTACCCCTGCAGCACCCAGGAACAGCTGAAATGCTGGTCAAAAGCAAGCAGCCAGGCCAGCACTGAGTCACCCCTCAGTTGTCAGTGCTGTGAGTCAGAACAGGCACTTTGGGCTCCAGCTGTCCCCACAGAGGCCCTGGCTGGCTCACCTGCACACTCTCCCCTTCTTTGCAGATCAGGGGAGACTCCACCATGCTGTAGTCACGGCCCAGCTGCCAGACTTTGTCTATCAACTGGACATTGTTCCCACCAGGAGATGTAATACTGTGAGCTCCCAGAGAGTCCTTTTTGGGAGGCTGTGGGGCTCTTTTGGAATGGAAGATGTTAAAAACAATGTCACCCTTGCACACGTCAAAATCCCACGTGATCACCGACGAGGCGTCCACGATCTGGATGAGAACCTGAGACAGGAAAGGCACATTAGACAACAGCAGTCTGCTCAGTAAAGGCAGACTCCTACAGGAAAAAAATGACAAAGAACAGAGCTTTTTTGTTGCTGGGCTTAGTTTCTACTATTAAAAAGGCTTTTTAATAGTAAAAAAAAGGCATTGTAGATTCAGATTTCCCCCTGATGGTGTGTCTATTCTAATACACGACTTCCATAAGATTTCAAGCAGCTTCTGAGAATTTTGCTTGCTTTGCTTAGAAGGATACATCTTTAAACAGAATGAAAACCAGTGGTACTCTCTCAATAACAGGAGGAACAATCACAAACTTCAGCTACTAAAGCATCACCATGCAGCAGCTCCAGAAGGTGGAAGCACAGGAACTAAATAAACAAGCAATAAAGCATTCCCAGGTCAAGAGACCAAGTTCAGAGCAGAGGGCTGAGATGAAAATGAAAGCAAAGGGCAGCTGGAGCTGTACCTCATGTGGAGCTCCTTTGAAGACACTTGCAGACTGGTAGATTGTTTCAGTCCAAAGCTTGATGTCTTCATTTTCCAACTCTTCTGCTGTCCGGTAGAGGGACTTGGGAACCAGCCCACCCTCTGGTACTTCACACTAAAACCAAAAAAACATTAAAAATGCTCTAATTATCTCCTGTGACCATCTCATCATGTTCTCTGCCTTACAGCTTCAGAATCAAACATTCAGCAATACACTGGAGAAGGGAACAGTCTGAAAGTCATTTTATAGCTTGTACATAATACATATGTAATTCTTTTTACAATGATCTGGGTGAGGTGTTTGCAGAACTGCACACCAGGGGAAGAGATCTTGTACACACCCAACAGCCAGCACCCCAGAAAGGACTGAGCAAAGATTGTAATTATCATTTACACCACCTTACATTGGAAAAAGATGGGAGGCACTTCAGAATCCTGAGGGAAGTGGCAACAGTTACTAAGTCTGAAAAATAGAGCTAAAGAGACCTGAAAGAACAGGGGTAGAAAATTTAAAGATGGATAGTGGGGAGAGACAGAAAGTTTCCAAGTGGTTAAAAGGACACTGCAGCCAGGAAAACCAACAGTTTTGAAGCTACAGCTGTCTGACAGCTCAGTACTGGAAGTGATTACACAACTTCTCTAAGCAAACTTCTGTTTTAGGAAGCCTGTAGCAATGAAGTCGACAACAGGCTCCACAGAAGTGTCTGGGGAAGTAGAAGTGTTTGGTAACTGAATTACAATAGAGAATTGAAAAGATCTCACAGAAGTCATTTTTGTTCAAATACCCAGAAGTAAAGAAGAAGAGAGAGACTGCCACTGCCTGTAACTGGCAGGAAGTGTTGTAGCAATTTGCTTTCTGGTAACATTCACTTTTGTTTATTTAAGCAATGGATTTTGCCAGCTTTAAGCTCCAAATTAGATAACACTGAAAGCTACTGCTGCAACAAAAACCAGCCCACTGGAGATAAGCACATGCTCTACTCCAACACACTGAACTGTACTTCATTATCATTTGAGACTCTATTGGAACTGACACAGATGAATTTTCAAGAATGGTACATAAATTAACCTAGAGAGTGTACAGGGGCTGAAAACACACCCAGCCTGTGCTGTCAAAAGCATTACAGGAGAAACAAACCTTACACTATCAGCGAGATGTTAAAATGCCAGATCCAACTGACACAATGCAGGCAGGAAACAGCTATCAAGGCATGTGACAAGGGACTGAGAAATGACAGTATCCTGCAGTAAAACCACTTTTCTGGTTTGCTGGGGGTAGCTGCACATTCTGTGTGAGCAGTCTGGGTTGTTTGCTGAGCCCTCTTAGCAGATGTGCCACATGTTCCTTGGGCTCCTTATGGGATCAGTTTTTTAGGTGACAGACTCTGGATCAGCTGATAGTGACAGCTCTTGCTCAGAGCTCTGCTACCACGTTTGCCTGAACTTTCCAGGGAACAGACTATGGCTTTTAGCTGTGCTTGGCTGTTTTGAGAAGGTATTTGATACTCATCCCAGAGCAGCATTGTACTGGTCTTTTTAAAGTGGATCCAGAAAACAGCACTGAGCCTGGAATCCTACACCACAGCCCCCACACCTCCAAACTACACCAGGAATCACTGTGCTTACAGACTTATTTGCTAGGAGGAGAGGAAAAGTAACAGTTTAAAAAAACAAAAATAAGTTGCTATATGCAATATTTCATATTCTTACCATGCACTCTCCACCGAGGAAATCAGGGATAATTTCTTTATCGATGTAATCCAGCAGTCCCCCAGGACCCTGGTAGTCATTTCCAGCATAAATAAGGAATTTCTTTCTAGTGTTGTCATCAATGAATGGACTAACCTACAAAGAAAGAAAAACAGAACCGATCAGGCCCTCACGTTTTTCTCAAGTCAATTTACATTGTTTCCAAGTCAATTTTGAAGGAATCAGTTTTGATCACACTGAGTGTTACCATCCTGGTTATGCAAAGTCCACAGCACAAAGAAGCCAAATTAATCAGCTGTGTAATTAGGTGGTGTTTTTCAATCCACTCCAGGAATCCTATATAAAGGACATGCTTCCAAATGGCAACATTTGCTGCACATACAGCCTGATCTCTGCAGTGCTTTACAAACTGAGGAACACCTTGGATTACACACATACCAGTGTCCAGAGAACTGGGAATACTCGAGGTGCTCTTAGGATAAGTAGACGACCCAAGGTCTCAGGGTAATTAGCTTCAACCACCTCGATGATTCTCAGCAAGGCCTTGACACCAGGTCTCCATAAATGCCTCATGTTCAAGCCTTCCAGATCTACTAGACAGGTCCAAGAGCTGAATTTTAGAGAGACAAAAAGAAAAATCTCAATAACATCAAAATTCTCCTTGTTTATGCAAGTGCCCAACACACTGAAATGTGGGGACCCTCTGCATGTTTTGGTTTCTTCTGTTTTACCTCCTTTCTTTTTGCTGCCTGTAGACACTGGAGTTTAAGGGTGCAGTGATCACTCTGCACACTCCCCCACAGATATTTTATATTCCAGATAAAAGTTCAGTTCATATGCAGCCAAAAAAACATCCTGTCAACAGCCAGCCCAAACATTAAACCATTGCTTTTACTGGGAGATCAATTAAGTGGCCACGCTGCTGCTCTGATGCAATTTAACATTCACAGTGCAGATTTTCTACTAACACAGAGCACAGTGGTGCCAATACACATCAAAGCTAATTCTGTTGTCAGATCTCATGGAAGGAAGCTTTTTCTATAGGAAGAGATATGTTCTTAACACTAACCACTGATCTGCAGCATGTGTTTCAGTTTCTTTCCAAGTTCAGGTCTCGCCCTGGGCAGGAATTCAAGATTTACAGCTGTGCTGCACCAGCCAGCAGCCATTACATTATGCATAGGGCTTCTATAAAACACCAAACCCTTCTTTGTTTCACTTGAAATGTTTAATATGCAGCCCTTTAGATTATGGCTGCAAATGAAGATCCAGCAGGCAGCACCATTCAACTGCTAAATATACAAGACCCCTCCCTTGGACTTGACCTCTCTCAGAGAGCTCAGGCAGCAAGGTCTGTAACTGGGAAGGGATAAGCAGGCACATCCCACATCCCTGGACCTTACAGATTACAGGAAAGAGCTGAAACTGGACAGAGTCCAAGAAACGTGGCATCTTTTCAGGGCTGGTTCTGCCTTCATTCCACACCCTTAAATCCATTTTGCAGTTACCACTTTTACAAGTGACCCCTACAATGACTTAAAAATGGGCTAGCAAACCACTTTTGACTGAACTTCACATGCAGTCCTGCCAGAACCAGGAAAATTAGATCCCAGGTTTCACAGGAGCCTCATGACCTCACCTTGGATCAACAGCTGAGTAGCCACACATGATAAATGGAGAATGCAAAGCAGAACTGAGCATAGTGAGCCTTGGAATGGACTATGGATGAACAAGTGACATGGAAGCCACACCTTAAACTACTGGAAATGTTACTCATGATACTATCATGGCCTGATCATGCCCAGTGCCTGTAAAATCCCCCACCAAAGAGATCTGGGAGTTAGGCTGCACTGCCCTGCAGATACCCAGCAGTAGAAGGGAGAAACAGCCCTGACAGAACCATTATGAGCATGAGAGCAAGGCTGCTGGGGCAGGTGCTGTGTGTCCCTCAGGCTTCCTAAATTAACAGTGTGATTGTACCTGCATGTGAGACACAGCCTAGCTCTGCTTGCTCCACTGCCTGACATTCCCCCACACACCCCATGAAAGCAGCTCATTCCCACAGAGCACACTTTACCTTATTGGCCTGCCAAACACTTTTGTATTCTCCTCACATCGCCTCAGCCCTTCTTCATTTATTGAAAGGACCTGCACAAGAAAGAGTAGGGTTTAGAAAAGACAGTCTCAAACTCAGTAAGTGGGATAAAGAAAATATGTTTATATCCAAAGACTAACTAAAACTACAAGATCAAACCAGCATAAACTTTTCCCCTGCTAAAGAATGAACTAGAAATCACTACAATTATCCTTAATTATTCAGAAATTAAAACCCTTTTAGAAATCACAGAAAGTAATCTTGGAACAGAACTAGGGCAAGCAAACAAGTTAGTGTTTGCTTGGAAATGCCATTAGGAGAGAAAAATAAAATCCAGTTCCTGTTCTTAATAGTCACTATGGCTATTCCAGTCATTACTAAGAGTCACAAAAAGTTAGTGCACACCTGGAATTCTGCCAGCTTTCTGCTTGGAAGCTGAGCAGATCCACAGTAACAGTCTGAGTGATGCCTATAGAGAAGGCAGAAGTACAGAAAAGGACTCTTTCTTTAAAAATACATGATTCTTCTTTTTGGACTACAGGTTTGACAAAATCCTGAGTGTGGGGTTTTCTCTTCTGTACAAGAGCAGAGACTCGAGTCTGAAGCCCTGCACAAGTGCAGAAGAATCCGTGCAAATGCCAATCAATAACCACGGCAGCTGCCAGAACTCCACCTTTCCATCAGAACACACCAGGAACAGCTAGCAGCAGCTTTCAGATGTATTCCAACCAAAACCCGACGGGCAGAGAGCCCATCAGGGTGCCAGGGGCGTGGATGCAGTGGCAGAGGGGACCCCCCATGACAAGGTGCAGTCAGGAACACTCACATAGCGCAGCAGAGCCTCCTCCCCCAGCGCTCGCACCAGCCCCTTGGTGTCCATCTGGCCCAGCCTCAGCACGTACAGAGGGCGCCCGTCTGCACAGACACAAACACAGCAAGAGACACCTGAGACCGCTGTCCTGCAGAACCCACGTGGAAACAAACCACCACTGCTGGCAAGAGAAACGTTTCATAGAAACGTTTGATAGATACGAAAGTAAGTTTTGATATATAAAAGATGTTTTCAGGGTTAGCTGTTGTTGAAATAGTTGAGAAAACCAAAGGTTAATTGAGTTAGAAGGAGTTTTATGACTAAAGTTTAAAGACTAAGTGGCCTTCAAACAAAAGGTTAAGTCTTCTTCAAATAAGGCATGTTTTCTACTAAGCAAAAAAGCACAGGCAGACAAAAAGATGTTTTTACTAAAGCTAGAAGAAATTTCCACTGCAAAACAAGTCTTAAAGTTTAACATGTAACTACTAACTCAGATAATTGGCTAGTCACTAACATAATATGGTCATTTTAGCAGTTTTGATAGTAAAAGGTATTGTGTATGATGCTGATTTGTTGTTATGTAACAAGATGCACAGCACAGAAAGAAACATAATGCTTTGTAACATGAATAAAAAGGGGCTTCAGGACACACAGCTTGCCTATAGCCAGCAGCTCTGGGCTCACCCATGACCCCCAACTGCTGGAACCTCGTCTATGCAATAAACAGCATTTTAAGAGCCCTCTGAAGTCTCCATCTCTCTGTCAGGCTCTTACACATAACACTTCAACCTCCCCTGCAAGAGGAAGAATCAAGAGCAGGCGGCAACATAAACACAACATAAACATCATTCACTGCAGCCACGCCAACAGATTACCTGTAAATGAGCTGCAAAATGGAGATATCCTGATTCAGAAATAGCTCCCTGACCTTCATGCAAAGTTCAAAGGACTTTGAGTACATCGGTTCACTCCAGACAAGGTATACACAATTAATGACACAGACTATTTTTAGCTTCCAGGACAGCTCAGCTACACCAATGAACTGAAGCTTTCCCTGTAACTGCAGAGCTGCAAGGAAGGCTGTAAGGCTTTTATCACACGTGATGCAACAGTGCTCTGGAGAGTTCACAGCAACCTTTCTGAAAAAATAGCCATCCTGACATGTGGGAATTAATAAAACCAGTGTTAACCCAGAGCCTGCCCACTGCAGAGTGTGCTGGATGGAGCCACACTCCAGCTCTGTCACTGTGCAGAACTGGCACACAGCCCTGCTCATGCAGGTTAAGCCTGGTGAGAACAGACTCTGCTCCAGAGCTCAACTCCAGCTGGACCCTCTGCATTAGAGCCCTGCTTTTGCACAGTCAGCCTGCACACTGGGGCACCCTGACACTGGCAGGATACTCGGGCATTAAGGTGAATTACTGTGTTGGCTGAAATTGAGAATCAAAGTTTGCATTTCTGGCTCTTAATTGTACAAAACAGCTCCCAACCACCTCCTAAAGCTGTGATGCACTTGTTAAGCTTTGCTTCATCTATTCCAATATATAGGCTAAATAATCACCAGCTTATAAAAGTGAATATGTTAGTATACTATATAAAAAGAAAAAAAGGAAGCTTTCTACATAAAAATCTCCCTCAAGTCTTGTTGTCTGTGCAGCTTCGCTCCCCTCCAACAGCTGCAAGAGAGGTTATCAAATTATAATTAAGTACTTTGGGACACAAGGAGAGAAACTGCAAAAAAACCACTATTAATAAAACCAACAAACAACCAAAACTGCAGAGGCGAGGCAAGTTATTTATTTGGCAAAGACACTGCCCCCATGGAAGTTTACAGTGTTTTATGTTTTATCAGGTGGACTAAAAGAAAACGTTATTTTAACATCAGCACATGGTTATCTTGGAATGTACTGTTTAGCTTTTGAAACACTAAACAAAAACTGCTATTAAGCTTCATAGCAGCTCTCCCCCCCTCCCTCCCAGACACAGATGCCTCCAAACTCAAACCAACAGCACAATAACCCTGGTCCATCCAAATGACACATGAAGGAGAGTCTCAGCTGACAGTGCTTTGTTATCACTGTACAATTTATATTCCATTAGAGCTTTGTGGTTTTAAAAAAACGTTAGATTGAAGTATTGCTGTCAAAATAAAAGCCATTCAGATGTATAGAAATCTGTGCTAATTGCAAGCCAAAATAATAACTTCTTTTCTTTAGCACTGGTAGTTCATTCTAGACAACATGCTTCATTATCACTGCTGCCTTTGCTGTAGCACTAAAAGCCACACAGCATTCAGTCAGCCTAAGTTTGGTACATTTAGCATATGTAGGAGGAAAGGAGCAATGCTAGAAAAGAGGATTTAAAAAAAGAACCTACCACTGTAAAGTTTTAAATTATAGAGAACTGCTCAGTTCTGAAATGGTGTTTCCATTATTGACAAAGCCATGCTTTACTTGTGGGCATGCTGCAAGAGAGATCAAAGAAACTGCAGGGGAAGGGAGGGGGCATGAAGTTCACCACAAGACTGCAGAACTTCTCAGAAGAACATTAAACAAGCCTTTGATACATTCTGCACCTTTCTGCTCACTGGCAGGACCCAGTTGTGTGCTATTGACAGAGGAAGTCTTTGCAAAGGACAGACAAGGAACAGGCTGAAAGGGAGAACTTATTACCAGGTCCTTTTTCCCTACAATCTTTACAAGCACATTCTCATTTTCCATTTTCTCAGTTTGAGGTCTGCCAAACCCAGAGCAGCAGGGAAGAGCCATTCAAGCTCTGGCCCGTACTGCTGACAGCATCCTGCCCTGTTTCATATGCTGCTTGAAAAAGGAAGAGCTGAGCAGAAACAATGGTGCCTGGTGGGAAAAGACTCAATCAGAGCACAGATCGCTCACAGTAAGAGATCATTTCCTTATCTAAAGAGCCCAGCTTGCCTCAAGCCACAAATTCCAACGTGTTTCATTTCTATGTATGTATTAGCAACGAGATCAGAGCACGATAAAGCAGAGGGACAGGGGACTGTGTCAGCCTGTGGCTCACAGTACAAAGGGAATTCAGCCAAAGCTGCTTCTCTTCTTAAACAAACCTGCTCGATTTGATGTTTTTACAACATTCCACTTCTCATCGTTAAGCTGATTGTAATGCCAAATAAATATTCATTTATGCCATCAGCAGATTTATGCAACATCAGAAATAAATTGATTACAAAGATATACTTATTTACAAACACCTTTTAATCACTGAAAGAGCACACTCAGCATTTGCCTAACACCCTTCTAGGCATCTCAGAGCACTACGGAAGTGCAATTAATCACTTTTTTTAAGCTCCTGGCAAAGCAGGTTTAAGTACGTCAGTATTAGTCAGAAAGACTCTGATCCAGGACTCTGCTTCCAGCAGCTAAGGCTGGCAAAGACACTGGAACAGGCTGCCCAGAGAAGCTGTGGATGCCCCTGGAAGTGTTCAAGGCCAGGCTGGACAGGGCTCTGAACAACCTGGTCTAATGGAAGGTGTCCCTGCCCATGGCAGAGAGATGGAACAAGATTATTTTCAATTCCCTTTCAACCCAAAACATCCTATCAATTTAAGTGTCTTTAGTACATAACAACTGAGAAGTTCTAACCAGCCACCTCTAGTTATCAGAGGGACAATTATCACCTTTGATTCAAAATGTAAAAAAAGGTTGCTCAATACATATTTTGTACTGAAATCATACCTTTGTCATGGTGATGCCAGCCTCCTGCATAGTAATCCTGGAGCACTTGGGGAGGATTCCAGGTGTCCAGAATATAATCCACCTGGTGCTGCTTACGCCACGTCAGGGACTGGCAAAGGATCTCTCTTGCTTTGTCAATGTTGAAGTCCCGGGCACGCAGGAATCTTAAAATGTGTTCATCCTTTGGGATCTATTAACAAAATCAAACCTAATTTTGTATTCAAGGTTTGAAACAAGAACAGGAACCCAAACGATAGAAGCTGATAAATGTGCAGCCCTGCACTAATGCAAGAGGATGGTTTGTAACACTGGGAGTTACTCAAGAAAATCAGCCTTTGTTTTAAACAAAATCATGAGCCCTGTCAGGCACTGCAGCTACTTTCATAAGGGATATAAAAATGTCATGAACTCTAATGTAATCATTTCCACCTGTATGACCATACCAAGCCAGTCCAATTTAAATAAATCAGGACAGAACACAGACTGTGTTTTATTGTTAAGTTAGAGGAAGCTGAGATACACATGCAAATCACAAAGCACTGGAAAAACCCCACCCTTGCTATCAGTGCTCCACTGCTATCAGCGTTTCAGTATTTAAGACTATCATGTTTGGCCAAAACAAACAAATGTAAAAATAAGGTCATGGTAGAAACCAGGAAGACTTTTATAAAACTGATGCTATTCCCCTGTGGCAGTTTAACTGACAGCCTAAGAGGTTTTCACGCTAATTACTGAAGCACCTCAGCTGCAAAGGCAGCTGGACACTCCCAATGAACTCCTCCTATTGCCACCGCTTAAATTCAGGTTTTGATCCTGGAGGGCCACTTAGCAGAAAGAGTCAGGCCCAGGGGGTGTGGCAGGAGGTTTCCTCAGGCCCACCTTGTGTGTCACACACTGAGGCAGGGGACACCCCCAGCAACTCACTTTGCCTTTGTGCGTCTCCTGGAGCCACTGCCGCAGGCGGATGAGGCAGCTCTCCTGCATGGGGGTCAGGTCCCCCAGGTACCTCTTGATGTAGTCTGCATCCAACTTATCTGAAAAACACATCACAGGTGATCAGAGTGGTCCTGACCTGACCTAGCCAAGCACCAAGCGATCTGATTTGCTGCTGTCTCAAAGTGGCCGCTGTGTTCAGCACAGTCAGAACTGAATAAAGTTCCTTTGAATCAATAAAAAGATGAGCAAGGCAATAAACACAGTCACCTTCATGAAGAAGAAAAAATTCTCCTTCTGCAGATAAGGAAGGAGCAGAAGCAGACATTTGTAAAAGCATTTTGCCAGTATTCTCAGATTCACCAATCCACAGCACCACTGGGCTTGTTGCTTCTAGAAATACTTAGGGAAGCTTTGATCTCCCAGTGCAAGAATTTTCCCAAATTCCCAGAAGACTATGTCTAGGGAAGTTTCAGCTGTTTCCTCCCCATCCTTCCTATAGTTATACCCATCCCTGAATTTCAGGGTGAGAGCAGATTGTTCATTTGCAACCTAATGAACAACAAAGAGTTTTTCTGCTCATACCTGATCTCCCCTCACGAGCTCAGCCTGTAACAGCTCCCTGAGCTCTGCCACGTGTCACTGCTCAGTGAGGCCACACTTTAACACTGCACATCACCAGCTCAGGAGCCAATGTGGAGCTCCTCAGCTGCCCAGTGCTGAGAGCCTCTCCAGTGCCAAGCTTCCCAGTAAAACCCATCAGACGCCCATACCATCGGGTGTTCCTGCCGTGGGCTCCGAGGGGCTGCTGGAGGTGTTGAGGATCTCCTTGTTGCTCAAGCCCTCCTTTGTGGCAGACTCTGGGATATTAATGGCAGGTGACACTGGTCTCCTTGAGTGGGATGTGCTGCTCTCTGATTTACAGGCAACAGGAGGAGTCCAGCGAGGGACAAAAGTTATTCCTTCTTCCTCCAGCTGCTTCAGGTAGTACTCTATTATTTCTTTTCCCTTCAAAAAAGAAAATTTACTTCAGCTACTGAAAAACTCACACATTTAGACACACAAAAGATTGGGCTGAGAATTAAGTGATCAGACCTCTAAAGGTTTGAAACAGCCCTACACAGACACACTGCCCCAGGCCCTGAGCACAGCAGCCCAGCTTTCTGAGCAGAGCAGCCTGTTACTTAGCAGCAGCCTCATTGTCTTTTGGTAACTTGGAGCCAGGCACATCCTTCCCAACTGCAGGCTCACCTTTTTAATATTGCTGGTGTATTGCTTCATGGCAATCTTTTCCACTGTGCTTTCAAAACCAAAAAAAGATTTGATATCCAGACTTGCTGACTGTTCAAAACAGGTCCAATCTTCATTGTCAGGATGAACCTGCAAGTCAAAAGATCATACAGCTCAGTTATCCATTTAGGGTTTTTTCTCCCTCACAATATTTGAAATGCTCCTTGTTTTACAGGTTCACACAGTCAAAAACATTCAAGTGGAATTTGCAATGTCTTGTTTCACAGATGGGAAGAGACAACACCAAAGGACAAAAAGCTGAAAGGCCTTCCATGGTCCCACAGCTCTTTTTTTAAAGGGGAGGGTGGAGAAACACAAGTGCAGCAGCCAAGAGCCAGAGGACTGCACATTTCTCCACTGCCTCAGTCTAGGTAAGAGCTGGGGCTGCAAGGTGTGTGTGGAACAGGGCAAAAGCCTCCACAGGGAACTCTGCTGTGGCTGATAGCCCAGGGCCAGCTGAGCCAGGCTGAGCCCTGCAGCAAGGAAAGGGGCAGCTTTCCCAACATGTTCCCAAGAGAAAGCCAAAACACTGCTCCCTCACTGACTCAGGAGGTGCTTCAGAATTCTGGAGAATGAAAGCTGTTTTAGTTTGTTCTCCCATGACAATGCCACAGACAGAGGAGCACACTCCTCACTCAGCTGACACCTTCCCTCTTAGCTTTACTGACATGATCCTGAAACAGACTTTTAGCTGGACTTGATCTTAAAGGGCTTTTCCAACCTAAACAATGCTACAGTTGATGCTGATACTGTTACAAAAAGCTGGTTTTTAAACTCTCCAACTACCATAGATTTCTTCAAGCGATTTCTAGGTCAGGCTCTGAATTTGTCATTATAAAAACATCACAAAAAGCTGGATTTCTGAGCATGCAACTGGCCTGATGCCTTAGGGTTCCCCTCCTCCTCAAAACATGCTAAATTTGGCTAAGAACAGCATCAACACTTTATAAGGAGACAACTACAGAAAAAAAACCTTTTCCCTTCATTTTCTGTTTCTGCATTAGGGAATGGGAGGTACAAGAATAGCCTGTACAGCCTTAGTAAGTACAACTCATAATAACATAATCTAAGAATCTTCCTGTATTTGCATAAATTCAATTACTACCTTTAATAAAAATGAACTTCTATAAACAATTTATTCTTCCATTAAAAACCTGGTTTTGTATTTACCTAATTTCTCCAGTGAATAGAGCAAATGAGCATAGACAAGGGCTGGTAAGTGGAAGTGTATTCTTAAATTTACCCTGGAAAAGTTATGGCAGAAATCATTATAAAAATATCAGATAATAGTGTCAAGTGGGTTTGGCATCTGGTGATCCTTTAACCACAGGTTAAACACACCAGAAAATGTTAGGACCCGAAAAGAATGCTACAATACAGATAAATCAGTCACATTTGTTAGCTCAGATCTGACCTTTAACATCACTTTGAAGTTCTACTGCTACAATATGTGCTGTAAGAGCCCATGAGGATGGGCTGAGCCATTCAGAAATGAACCATGGCCAGAGCAGAGCAGCAGGCCTGCCACCTGCAGACTCCTCTGCATCAACATTTGCACTGAAGACCAAGAACAAGAAAAAAAGATGGGTTAAACCATAGCTGACTCAGTGAACTTCTGCCTGAGCTGAGCAGAAGGAAATCATCTGAACTTTCCGCTGGCAGTTCTGTCAGGGTGTCATCAGCCTCACCAAGTCCCACACTGCTGCTACAAAGCACAGATTTACCTAAACAGAGCTGTCAAACACAGCAAATTATGTTGTGCTCTCTGAGAAGATGCTCAAGCAAGAGGGTGCCAAAAGTGTCTCAGTTCTTGAGGCAAGTATGTTACATCTAACACTAACAATTATCACTCAGGGCAGCACGCTGGTTCTTTTCTCTTACAAGGCAAAAGCCAGGAACAATGCAAGCTGTGTTTGAGTCCTGAGATCTGAGCACTGCCTTGGCTCCACGTGCAGCCCCACCAAGGGCCTGTTGTTTGTTACTCACTGTGTAGGAGCAGTGCTCGTTAATGATGACTCTGTTAGAGAAGGTTTCATTGTAGGCTTCTATATGCAGAGTCCTGTCTCGCCTGTTCAGAGAGTTCTTCTGGACAAAGTAGACATAATCCACTCCTGCAATCTGGGGAGGAGGCACAGATTCTGTCAAGGTACAGTATTCAGGGGAAGGGATATGCAGAAGTACAAACCAGGCATTTCCAAGCTCATCACCTTTTTCAGCAGCCGTGGGGCATCGATGTCCAGCTTGCAGCGCCGCTCGATCACGTGGATGGCCCCGTCCTCACTCTTGTACTCGCTTACAGTGTCACTGGCTACAAACATGGGGATCAGAGGGCACGTAGGAAACCTTCTTTCATACGCCTGGCACGATGGAAAGAGAACAAACAATCACCACCATTAATTCCTGAGGGTGTGCAGAGTTCCTTCACTGGCATCACCAGCATTTGGAGGCTCAATGCCCTTCAGAGCTTCTGTGGAATGGGCTGAGCCTTCCTGAATCCACATTACAGCTGAAAGACTCCCAGTGCATTCCAAACAATCCATTTATTAATGTGTTCCTTGCCAGTAAGGCAGTTTTTAAACCACACTAAATAACCCTTTCCTCCCCTCCCTCTGAAAAGGAAGTTATTCATTCTGTACCATGACAACCCCCTCGATAACAGGAAAAATCAGACCCTCCAATTCTAAAATACCACAAAACAATTATGTCTTGGATTAAAAAAACCCACTTACTAATTACCGGTGTTTCACCAAGCTGTCTAGAGGGATTTCATACAGCTCCCCAAGGTCTAATAAAAACATTTCAAAAGCTATTTCTTAAGCTAATAGAGCTCTCAAGCTCCCTGGGCACATGGTGTTCCTAATGATTTCAGTGCAGTTTATCAGTTCCCAGTTTTGTGCAACAACAGTCAGTCTAATACAATGAGCTCATTTCACACTTCTGAAAACGTAGAACTTCTTGTAATAATGCAGAGCTAGCAACAGCTTTGATTTTAGTCAAAAAACACAGTCATGTAAGTAACTTCATCTCTTAAATATCTGGCACACAGAGTATGGTATTAAATCAGACATAGGATAGTTAAGGATTTGGGATAAGTAAACCAAGTAAGAGGGTGTTATCCCCACTAGTAAACTTGCTGGATTTTGATTTTAAAACCACTGTGGCTGGAGAATACAAGACAGCTCTTTTCTTCCCCCTTCTTTTCATAATCTCTAATGTATCTCTGCTTCTCCATGGCCTTTTTTTTTCTCATGGGGTAGTAGTGAAGGAAATAAATCTTTAGCCTGCTTTCTATATTGTGGATTCCTTCATTTTTGCTACTATCAGAAGCTCATTTGCTTTGGTGAAGAGGTCGGATTTTGCAAGGTGACCCAATGCAGAAGTAAACTTAGATAAAGTAAGTCTGAGAGAACATCATGAAACAACTCTTTAAAAGAGGTAAAATATCCACTCTGTCCTTTCAGATGATTTCAACTACTCTGAAAACAGCTGGCCTGCAGCACCAAGAGGGAGAGGGTGGAGAACAAAACAAGCAGCAGCTGCACAAAGTATGCAATGGTGGGGCTGGAACAGAAAAGGTCTCTTAATTCTCCCTTTAGAACAATTAAAATACTTCAGTTTATTACCAGTGTTCAAACCTAGTTTGAAGGCAGTGTTACTATGGTGACAGTGGTGTAAGGCACTAAAACACTGTCAGCTTTTTTTCCCCTTGTGCATATTTTTAAAGCATTTTTGCAGCATGACTGTCCCGAGTTGATAAAGCTCTTCTGTAAGGCAGAAGTGCAGCCATGGAAAGGGTCACACACAGTCCCTGCTCCAGACCTCATCTGTGCACAGCTGGCTGGGCTGGACTGAAGAACAGCAATAATTCCTGGGCTCACAGATGTGTGCACAATAGCAGGGACAGAGCATTAGTGTTGTAACACAATAGTCAGCACTGGGGGAGAAAAATCTTTCCCAGCTCCGAGACAAAGGGAGGATGGATCCTATTCACATGGAATAAGAAGTTTCTTTTGCCCCATTAGTATGGCAAAGAAGTTTTGTTTCTTTTACAAGGCTCTTGTTCTGGACAGAAGGCTGTACATTTTAGTTGCTCAAAAGTATCTCAGACCTCTCCCTGAAAAAGTCTCAGCATTCTAAATTAATCTCTATTTTAACTGCAATGACTGTAGTTAAATGTTGTTAAAGTCAGAAAAAGAAAACATTTCTAGAAGAAGTAGAATTTAGAAGTATTTCTAATTTTCAGATTGCTTCATTTAATACTTCTATTTTGAAGACCTTACGTTATGATTGTTTTATAGACAGGAGAGCAGGGGCAGTAGGTATCTAACATTTTTCTCACTTTTTTCAAAGTCTTTTTTACATTTGGATGACAAGTTTCCCCCGTCTGAACAGCCCCCTTTATGCCAAAGCCTTTGCAAGTCTCCTTCATTGCTCATACGGATGCTTTTCTCATCTTAGTCCTCCACACACTTCATGTTTGCCCTGTGAACATTTGCAATTCAGAGCATTACCTGCTCCTGAGTGTTTGCTGAACTGTGAACAAAAAAATGCCCAAGAAGAATGTGGTGTTTTAAAGGGGGAGACTGAATTAAATGTGTTCAATTTGGAAGAGAATGAAATCATTATCTGCCAAAAGCTGGCAAGCTGAATGCTCACAGCAAAGTACTTGAAGGTTTCCAAGAGATTAACAGCAACGCAGGATTCTTTCTCCCTAAAGAACATACACACACAAAAGTGCTCACAGTCAATTTTACTGGGCTCTTAAATCAGGCTGGTTTTATTTCTTTATGTCCCACGCCAATATATCCTTGTAATGCACCATTTCTCAGCACAGTCCAGTTCGAATAAAAGGTGATTAGAGCAAACTGTGGCCACATCAAAATATTCAATCTGATTCAAGCACGGCTGTGTCTTCCACAAGGGACAAACGGGTCCCTTTCACAGTGCAGAGTGGGCAGGAAAAAGCTCCTCAAGGCCACAGGACACTGACACATCTTTCACCAGGAACCAACACAGCACAGAACAAAACCTGTAATTTGTGGTACAACACAGCAAGAGCCACGTGAAGCAGAGCAGCACATGCATGGCCAAGACTGGAGCTATTCAAGGAGCAGAAGAAGATTAAAGAAAGATCAAATGCTGCTTTTATTTTCCAGGAGAACTGAAGGGATTTTGCTGCGTTATTGAAGTGTTTTGAACCAGAAATTTTGTCTCAAATCCAGTTTTGCAGACAGGAAATAACTGAGCTGTATTATGCAGTATTTCTCCAGCTGGCTGATAAAGCAGAGTTCATTATAAAATGTTGCCCCTTGTATGACAGCATTGTGGTCAAACCTGGACAGATAGGTCTCTCTTCACAAATAAAAATCAGATATTCCACACCTTGGTGTCAGTGTTCCAGTTTCACTGTACAGGTACAACCAAAGACAATTAGTTCAAGAGAAGCAGAAAATCCTGAAGGGCTCCATTCAGGAGTGAAATGCTACTGCAGTAATGCACCCAAGAATGGTGTTTCAAGGGCATGACACTGTTCCTGTTTTCCCCATCACATTTAACACACAGGGTGTGTGGAGACTGACACGGAGCACAAGTCAAAAGCACAGATGTGTTCATCCTCAAAACTCTGCAGCTGCTGCTGGGCTTGACATGAAATCACAACACCTCCATGCCTGAGACACCTGTGTACAGATCTTTCAAAAAGTCATTCTGAGCCTGCAATTCTGCAGTTCCTCAATAATGTACTTCTACATTTCCCACCAGCCTCTGGAACATTTGTGTACTCTGATCCATTAGAAGCTGCACTGTGCATCAAGAAAAACACAGACTGGTGAAGCAGCTTGAACTGCAAATTTAACTTTCTTAATGCATGTTAACAGCAAGAGCACTGACAAGCATAATTTCAACCAAAATAGCACTGTAATAAAGCTGCTTTTCCAACTGCTTCCCTTAGCAACTCATGCTCAGAGTAGAGTCAAAATAACAGGATTTATTCCACTTTTATCCTTGCTAGTATTTCAGCTGAGTGTGAAGACATGAAAGCAATTCAGAAGTCAGACTATTTTAAACCCATTGCAGTCATTTTTCATAGCCAAGGGAATTGTACTTGCTGCTGCAGCCCTTACATTTTAGAATTCTAATATCAGGAATAACAAGTTTCTTTCAAAATATCACCTTTAAAACAGTACTAAGGTATGACCCACAGCCCAGTTTTCAAAGATTTCTGGCTTTTTGTTTCTCAAACCATGCCTAGGGCTAATAAAATACCTTGATAATAAGCATGTCTCAGTCCTCAGTAGGGAGAGTCAGTCATTCATGCAAATAAATTACTCATCTTCCCTGGCCAGATTAATTTATTCCCAGTCTCCTGCCTTCAAGGACAGGGATTATTTAGTATTTCCATTAAATGACTCAAAACTAATTTCTACACTTAAAAAGAGGAAAAAAAAAAATATTCCAAGCAATCTTATGCTGTGCTGTTCCAGTAGGTGAATCCTCCAAACAGAAATTCTAACCTGGTGAAATACAGAGGAATTTCAATTACCATTTGTAAAATGAAGCATATTGAGTGCTTTAACAGCTTAATGGCATGAATCAAGCTGTTCAGATGTTTTATTTCTTTTTGATGTCTTCTGTCTGAAGTTGCTGGCAGAGCAGCATTCCAAGAGCAGCACCACAGTCTCCAAGGGCATCTCAAGAGAAGCCACAAACAGATTCATCCTGGCAGTCCAATCTCATCTGCAGCACTCCGTGCTAACTTTAATTTCTGCCTGCAGTGCCTGACCATGTGTGGGTGCCAATGTGCATATCAGAGTTCACTGTGCTCCCCCTACCCACTTCCAGTGTGTGGGAATTCTGAATTACTCATAAACACAAGAAACAAGAAGGGTCACTCAAGCAGGAAGCTGCCCTGGCTGCACAGGCAGCATTCCAGCACATCACTGTATCTATCCCTTCCTCCCCTTGCATTAGAGCACTGCAGATCAATAGGAAAAGCAGTGACTCATGGCAGGGCAACCACGAGGTTTCAAATTCTTGGCAGCAGAACTTGGAAAGAAACAGTTCTGGATGAACTCTCACAGATCAGCAAATAACTTTTCCTGCCCTGTATTCTGCTGTTCAGAGCTCTCTACCACTCCCTTTGCAATCCATACATATGTATAAAACCCATGACACTTGTTCAAAGCAGTATAAAAACCGTGAGACTTGAACAAAGCAGTGTGATCTGAGTGCCAGTGTCTCTGAGGGATGTCAGCTCACATGGGAGTGATCAGCTCGGGGGCGTGCATGCAGGGGAGCAGATGGTTACAGTGGATACACCTCACAAAGCTCCAGAAATAGGATTTTGGGTAAGGTAACA